AGTCTGCAGCTCTCTATACTTCACTGCCCCCAGGTCCCTAACCACGGTGCCCCGCCAGGCCGCCTGGACTCCTCACCTTGATCTCAGCCAGCTTTGTGCCCCGGCTGCAGTCCCACACGGACAGCATGTGCTCATTGGAATCATCCACCACACAAAGAAAAGCACCCTGATCCTGAGAATGGGGGACACATCGGAGGGGCCGAGTGAGGCCTAGAAGTCTGTGGGTTCATGGTCATTAGGCAAGGGCTGCCATCACAAGTCGAGCGGGCAGAAGGGACACCTGCTCCTTTCTCAGGAGAACCGGCGGAGTCAGGTTCAGGAAGGCCAGAACTTCTGAGGCTTCCCGGTGAAGTGCAAGAATGAGGTTCCTGGGCAAGGAAGATGGGGGTCTAGAGGCTTTGGGGTCAGCTCACCGCAACTGAAAAGGCCAGGGCTCCCACGCCCCGCTCGAAGGCCCCCAGTCCAATCTCCTGCAGCTTCAGCAGTGTCTCTGAGTCCCAGACGTGAACCACAGGCTGCAGGGGCTGGGAGAGGAGAAGGGGTCAGGGCTATGAAGGAAAGGCAGGCTGGAATTTCATCCTGTCTGCCTGGTGTTGGGCTTTGGTCTTACCTTTCCATCTTTATCCACTCCAGCTGTCTGTCCCGAGGCTACACGAACACCATCGGGGTGGACGGCCAGACTAAGTGGGGGGAGGAGACACTCTAGGGAAGGGGGTCGGTCTCTCAAGACCCCTCAGGACACCTTCTCCATGCTTGCAGAGCAGCAAGGCGACTCTACTCTCCTGCTCCTCCACACCGACCCAGACCCTGCTCCTGCCAAGCCCACCATCCCCACGCCTAGAGCCGCCCGCCCACTCCCAGGTCCCAGGCCCCTCACCATCGAACACAGTCCGTGTGGCCCCGGTAATGTCGCTGGCCGCCACCTCCAGGACCCCCTGGGCCTCCCTCGGGCCGGTACAGCACCACCACACAGGCGATAAAGTAGACCACCTCCCCAGAGCGCAGCACAAACAGATTAGAGCGGGAGTCACGACCCCTGTACCCGTAACTGGAGTGGGGATCACAGTCAAGGAAAGGGTCAGATCAAGGGCAGAATGAGGAAGAGGGGGCAACGGAAGACCTTCTGGCTGGCAGCACCATCGGCAGAGGATGGGAGGGGAGGATTCAGAGGGCTCCCTGATCCCGCAGGTCCAGGGGGAAACCATAAAGAAGGGGGGGGTTCCCAAGATGGTTAAGGTGGTTCCTGGGGGATTGGAGGGGGCAGGATACACCCAGTCAAGGCTGAGGGTCTCCGGGGGTGGGCCGCTGGGCAGCTCCTCAAGGCTGCGGATGCCAGACGGGATGTACATGGTAATGGGGCGGCCGCGAAGGAACATCTTCACTGAGATGCCTTCTACAGAGAAAAGGGGGGTGTCAACCACCACCCTGCAGCCTCCCTTCCAGGAAAGCCAGAGCAGAACTCTACCCACCACACCTCACAGGTCCCCCAAAATAGCTCTCAGGGCTGTCGCCCAAACCCTAACACTGTCATCCAAGTTATTCACTCCTCTGTACGTACCCAAATTGTAGTTGCTTCTCCGAGACCCAGGGCCCCCGGGGCTGGAGAGGGGGTCTTTCCCCCCACGGCTGTTGGGAAGAGAGAAAAGCATAGGGATGGGGTCAGGTCCCAAGACCTAAGTGGGGAAGGGCAGGACACAAGAAAGGAGGTTACTCCAGAGACCTACAGAGTCATCTCTGCAGGCTTTTAGTTTGCATTCGGAGCATTCGGGGCCCCAGAGTAGGTGGGGACTCTCAGCTCCACGTAAGAGATGAGAAGATTCAGGCCATAAAGCTTGTAAGAGCCAGTGCGGCAGCATGACGGGGGGGAGCCCTTTCCTCTAGACTACCAGGCTTCTGGTTGACCTTTTCATTTCTCCATCGGTAAAATGGGACCAAAGTGAATCCAGAATGTACACCAGCCCTGCCTTTCAGGGATCTGGGAGGTCAGCAAGAAAGTCTTTATCTCTCAAGGGGAAAGTAACAGGTGAATTCCACAGATAGCTGTCATTAGATCAAAAACGTAGTGACTTCTCTTCTGAGAATGCAGGGGAAACTGAGGACATGGCTAGAATGAACACTCAGGTGTCCTGGGGCCTGTACAGACTCTGAGACAACTATGTTCAGCCACTAGAATTTCCCCTTGTTCTGCAGAAATAAAGCCTGGTTGGGGGTGGGGTGGGGGGCGGTGAGGGGCAGTGGGGGGAAACTCCGAAAACGGTCATCCAGGAAAATCGCGAGAGCTTTTTGGTACCTCTCGGAATCCTGGAAGGTATGTGGTGATACGATGGAACCGAAGTCAGGGAGAGGAGGGTTCAGATCCTAGTTCTGGCTGTGTGACCCGAGACAAATGACTTACCCTCTCTGAGCGTGCTTCCTCGCCTGGACAATGAACAGCATGAGACCACCTACCCCCCAAGGGTGTCGTGGGAACTGAATGAGATGGAGGAGGTCGAGGGTTTAGCACAGTGCCGGGTACACAGCAGGCGCCCCTGGGGGGCTTGTTCCTTTCTTCCTGTTGGGCGATGAGGTCCCCCCACCCCACCCAGGGAAGTGAGGTGAGGGATGTGGAAAGTCAAGAGCCTGAGCGTGGGGTGGGGCGGGTTGGGGGTGGCGGGAGCCTCGCCCACCTCTCTGTGCTCCCTGACCGCAACAACAGGTTGGCCGAGGAAGCTGCCTTCCGGGAGAGTTTCTGCCGAGGCCGCTCTGAGGGGGATGAGGAGGAGGAAGAATTTCTCCGTGGCCTGATAGGAGCATAGTGAGCTGGTAAAGATCGTTCCCTCTCCTCACGCTTCCCAGTCCCTCCGCCGGCCCTCCTGGCCCCTGCCACAGGACACTTACGTGTCAGCGCGCTGTGGGGGCTGCACAAGCCTGAGGATCCCTGGGGGGCCAGGGGAACCACTGCTGCTGCTGCCCCCTCCTTCAGACTGGGTCCCACTAGGCTCTTCACTGCCCCCCTGTGGGGCTGGGGGCCCATTGCTCAGGCCAGGGGGTCCAGGGGACGGCTGCATCTCAACCTCTGTCTCCGTCTGGGTGCCCCGGCTCACCAAGGAGGGGCTGCACGTGGGTGGCAGTCCTGGGGGGGCTGCAGGGCTGCTGGGGAGACAGTGAGTCAACCTGATGCCCCCAGAGGCCCTCGGAAGAAGAGGGCGTGACAACCTGCCTACCTGTCCCTTGTAGGAGCTGGGGCGCCAGGGTCCTGCAGGGAGTTCGGGGGCGCCTGCAGCCGCAGCAGGCGGAGGGCTTCTGCCAGGGCCGCCTTAACCAGCTCCATCTCCTTCTCCTGCACCTGAAGCCGCCGGCTCAAGGACTGCAGGGCCTCCTGAGCAGGGCCCTCACCTGGGAAAAGGGCAAGAAGCACTCAGAATGTACCCACCACCTGAAGAAAAGGGTTGAGGGGATTCTGACTTCCCTCCGACCTTGCATTCGTCCGATAGGACTACCCCCTTTCAAGCAGCCCCGGGCTTGGAGGCTGGCCCGGAGGGGAGGAGGCGGGTGGTAGAGAATCAAGGGCCTCCTTCTGGCAGGGCAGGCGAGGAGCCTGGCAAGGCTGCCTTCCTGCTGCTGTCTCAACCTCCGCAAAGACAGGGAGTACCATGGAGTACCAGGGGGAAAATATGGAGTACTGCCCAGGAACGTGGGAACCACAGAGGGAGGCGCAGCGCCGGCGCGGGATGACGGCCCACCCCAGAGCAAAGCTCAGGTCTCCAAGGCAGGCAGAGAAACTGAGAAGGGGGCGCGAAAAGAAGAGGGCGCCCCGAAGAGTACAGTCATCTGAGGGCTCACAGGATCAGGAGGAGAGATCGAGAATGACAGGAGAGGGTATCAGTGGAGACGGAGTCATAGTGAAGGTCCCAGGGTAACGGGTCCGAAGTAAAACGACCCGAAATACCATGAGAAGAGGCCCGGAATAACATAGGGGGCAGAGAAACATCGAGGGGCCCAGAATAACATGGGGAATAGGATGACGTTGAGGAAGTTCGAAATGACAGTAGGAGATCCAAATAACTAGGGAGAGCGACCTGAGGAACAGTGGAGGATGCTCAGAACCCCTGAGGCCGAGGAGCACGCGGGGACGCCGCCAGACAGCCGTCGGGCACTGGCAGCGGCCGACCGGCCGGCGCTCCGGGAAGGGGCACGCCGCCCGCCCCGCCCCGTACTCACCGGGCCCCCCGGCCCCGTCCATCCGGCCCCCGGCTTGCTCCGAGCGGCGGCGGCGGAGGAGGCTTCTAAGCCGCCGGGGCCATGGCCAGGGAGAGGGGAAGGGGAAGCACCCCGGGGCGCGCGCGCAAGGGTGCCGTGCCACCCCCCGGGGGCGCTGTCGGGCGCGGGGAAAGGGCCTGGAGGGGGCGCTGTGGAGCGGGGGCGGCAGGCTCCAGGACCCGCCGGGGCCTCGGACTCTCCCGGGGCCGCTCTCGGCTCCCGGGGGTGGGGTGGCGGGGCCGTCCGGGGCCCCAGCGCCGCGGCACAAACAGGCGCCGGACGCGGAGCCGCCAGGAAGCGCGGGAGGGGGGGCGGGACGAGGTGGGGGGGGCCGGGCCGCCTGGTAACCCCTCCCTGTCCGGACCTCGCGGCTCAGTCCCCGGGCAGGGCTAACCCGCTGACCCCCGGACCCCCTCTGGGCCTCCGCCCTCCAGGCCCTTCCGGGATCCCCGCCCCCTGAATCCCTGGGGTCTTCTCTGGTCCCGGAGTCCCTGCCCCTAGCCCCTAGGGGCAGAGCCGACCGGCCCCTCCCCACTTCCGCGAGGGGGCAGGGGCGGGGTCATGAAATGGGCCCTTAGCCCGGGGGCGGGGCTTTTCCTAAGGGGCAAGGCCAAGGCATCTCGAATTGGGGCTGCAGGGGCCAGGGCAGCGGGTTATTAAGGATGGGGGTGGGAGGATTCCCAGGGTATTGGGGTCAGGATGGCATTAGCCCAGCTCAAGCCGGGCTGGGCTGACTCAGCACCCTGCGCCGGCCAACCCTAGTCCCTGAGAGCTCTGCTTTCCCTTGGGCAGAGATGGGAGATGGCGCCGGTGTTGCCCCTGGTGCTGCCCCTCCAGCCCCGCATCCGTCTGGCACAGGGGCTCTGGCTCCTCTCCTGGCTGCTGGCGCTGGCCGGTGGCCTCACCCTCCTCTATAGCGGGCACCTCCAGGTCCAGCTGTGGCACCTCAGCACCTTCTTGGCTCCCTCCTGCCCATTTGCTGCCCTGCCCCGGGTTGCCCTGGCAGCTGGTGCGGTGGCTTTGGGCACAGGACTGGTGGGTGCAGGGACCAGCAGGGCCAGTCTGGACGCAGCTCAATACCCTCCCTGGCGGAAGGTCCTAGGCCCGCTGCTCGTGGTTGGCACTGCTGGGGGCGGGGGTCTTCTGGTCCTGGCCCTGGGACTGGCCCTGGCTTTACCTGGGAGTCTGGACACAGGGCTGGAGGAGGGCCTGGGGACTGCCTTGGTTCACTACAAAGACACAGAGGTGCCCGGACACTGTCATGCCAAACGGCTGTTGGATGAGCTGCAGCTGAGGCACCACTGCTGCGGGCGCCACGGGTACAAGGATTGGTTTGGGGTCCAGTGGGTCAGCAGCCGTTACTTGGATCCCAATGACCAGGACGTGGTGGAGTGAGTGTCTTATTCCCCCGCCCCCCTCCTCCTGGCCTCCTTCCCCTCCTTTTCCTCCTCCCCATCCCTTGAAACCCACCTTACCCAGATAGGAAGTAAATAGAGCCTAGTGATCCAGAGAATGGGTTACAGATCTGCTATTCTATCAGGTGTGTGACCCAGGGCATGTTACCAAACAGCTCTGGGCCCATTTCCTCATTTGTAGAATGGAGCTAATGGGACCTATCTTACAGACTTATTGTGAGGATAAATGAATTATGCACGCCTGGCACACAGCAACCAGTCAGTGAAGGTCTTTTTCCTTCTGTTTCCCTTCTCCATTCCTGTGCCCGGCAGCCTTTCCTCCAGATCTCGACTTCCAGACGCCCTAACTCCCCTGCCCCCTCCCTTTGCAGCCGCATCCAGAGCAACGTGGAGGGCCTGTATCTGATCGACGGTGTCCCTTTCTCCTGCTGCAACCCCCACTCACCCAGACCTTGCCTGCAAAGCCGGCTCTCAGACCCCCATGCCCACCCGCTCTTTGATCCCCGTCAGCCCAACCTAAACCTCTGGGCGCAAGGATGCCACGGGGTGCTGCTGGGGCACCTGCAGGGTTTGGCGAGCACGCTGGGCAGCATGCTGGCTGTCACCTTCCTGCTGCAGGTGAGTCAGCAAAGTGTCTGAGGGCTGCCTCCACCTGGGCCTCCTCGCTGCCTCCAGCTCTGGCCCCTGGGGCGGTGGACCCCCACTGACCTCTTTCCCTTTGCTTTTCCCCCAGACTCTGGTGCTCCTGGGCCTGCGGTACCTGCAGACAGCACTGGAGGGGCTCGGAGGAGTCATCGATGGGGAGGGAGAGACCCAGGGCTACCTCTTTCCCAGCGGGCTGAAGGACATGCTGCAAACAGCGTGGCGACAGGGAGGGGTTGCTCACAGGCCGGCACCTGAGGAGACCCCACCAGAAGAGGCACCTCCTAAGGAGGGTCCACCTGAGGCCTAGTGGCCTGATGGGGAATGGGAGGGGGGAAGGGGAGGGATGGACAAACACTGAAAACCTCACAACTCCATACCAAGGCTCCAGGTGGGGGAGGGGGGGTCCCTGGGATTAGAGGGGTTAAGGATAGTCACCGAGCTGGACTGGGGGCGGCAGGAAAACTAGGTGGCCGGGGCTTAGCCCCTGCGGCTGGAACCAGCGGGGAACAGAGAAAACACAGGGTGATGGGAAAGCGACACGGGAAGGGCTGGCGACTGCTCCTGGCACAGAGACTCAATAAAGCTTTTTGCACTGAAGCCACCGATCTTCCTTTCAAGGGGGTTGGGGGGCCCTGGGAGAATTGATTTCTGTCTGATAGAGAAGCCAGGACTCCTGGGTTTCGACTCCGGGAAGGATCTTAAATGCAAGAGCCAGAATGTGTGGAATGAAGGAAACCACAGGCCCCTCCAGCTTGAGATCTTTTATTCTGGAGGTAGGAGAGGGGGTCAGCATGCTCAGGTAGGGAGGGTCCAGCCCAGCTCCTCCAGCCCCCCAGGGCATGCCCAGCCCCAGTGAGTTGCCCGGTTGCTCAGCAGCCCTCCCTCCTGAGTGCCTGTCCTTCTGCTCCGCCCCAGACAGGGCTGACCTGGCTCAATACAAGGGCTGCTTGTCCCCAGCCTGTGGGCAGTGCCACATGGCAGGCTGGGGGAGGGGCGAAGCAGCTGGGCCATGCCCTGGGGCTGAGGGGGCAGAGGGGCCACCGCCCCGGCTCTGAGGGGTCAGGACTAGGAAAACCGGATCCTGGGCAGGCCAGGGGCCCAGTCCACCAGGTCTGTGCCTGAGGAGGTGGTAGTCAGGGTGGGGCCTGCCATCACACCTCGACAGCTGGGTCTGAGCCTCGGCCCTGCCGCTGCAACTGCTCCTCCTGCTTCATCTTGGGCTTCTCCGTCCGCGTATGCCACACCAGAACCTGTCCCAGGAGGCTTTCGGTTAGAACTGGGCCCTCTGTGTAGAGTGGACCCACTCACCCCCTCTACACACACAGCGTTGGCTCCAAAGCGTGAATGGCAGGAGGCTTTAGTGCCTCTAAAATAGAGGCCCCTCACCCGCTCTGTGCTACATGGGTGCCCAGGGGACCACTTTCCTTCCCTGGCTCCCCGCTTCCCCTGCAGTAGTGCTGTCGGCAAGGTTGAGTCCGGGCCCTGGAAGGTCCCTCGTGGTCCAAACACCCACCCTGTGATCCTCCTCCCCAAGGCCTTACTCCACTTTCCCCCCAACACCTTGCCGTATCCCAAAGCCGGAGTTCTGCCCACCTTCATCCCTTACCCGAGTGCAGTTAGCAGCTCGCGGCTCCAGGTCCCTGGGATCCACGAGGTGGCTCAGGAGACTGCTTTCCAGGTGGCCCCGGGGAGCAGTAGCATCAAACTGGGCATTGGGCTTTGCCAACAGCAAGGGCAGGGCAACAGCGAATCCTGCCATATCCACTGGAAAGGGCCTGTTGGGCTCCCATGCCGTGTGGAAGCCCACAACCCGGCCATCCTGTACCCGAGGACCCTCAAATCGCAGGCCGCCTACCAGCCCCACAGGCCACACTGAGACACCACGGGTCCAGCGCATCTATGAGAGGTCAGAAGAGACGAAACAGACACGGGGTGGCCCAGGGACAAGGGAGCAGCAGGAAGGACCGCTGGGGTCACTCTGGCCCACTGCTCCCCCTCCTCACACAGAAGCCTAGAGCAACACTGGTAACCAGGGCAACAGGCAAAGCTGGCCCCGCCTGGCCTCTCTCCCGATCCCCCCC